GAAATCGAAGGATTGCAGTGCTATTGCCCATCTAGTGAGCATATTTGACTTGTCTTGCATCGTATGGNGCAGTGCTATTGCCCATCTAGTGAGCATATTTGACGTGTCTTGCATCGTATAAAGATATCGCAATGCCGCATGATCAGTTACGCACGTAAAATGTCTACCCCATAAATAAGGACGCCAGTGTTGAATTGCTAGAACAACAGCATAGCATTCTTTCATGGTGGCAGAGTAGTGTTGTTGGCTTTTGTTGAATCGCTGGCTAAAGTATGCTACGATATTCACGTCATCGCCATTCTGTTGTGCCAGGAATGCTCCTGCTCCCACTTCAGATGCGTCTACATGGATAACAAACTCTTGAGAAAAGTCCGGAAAATGCAAAACAGGAGCGTTGGTGAGTAATCGTTTCACTTCGGCAAATGCTTCATCATGTTTCGGACCCCAGCGTTTCGCTACCGACTTCACTGCGTCTTTCTTCGTAAGGTCAACCATTGGTGCGATGACGGCGGCTAAGTCTGGGATAAATTTCCTGACATAGTTGACCGTTCCTAGGACTGATCGCAAACTTTTGATGTTTGTTGGCGTTGGCAACTCTAGTATCGATTTTATCCGATCTTCACCTAAACGTATGCCATCTGCAGAAAGAATATGCCCCAAATACTTCACTTCCTTTGGCCCAAATTGTACCTTCGACGGTTTCAATGTAAGACCTGCGGCTTGTAGCGCTTGAAAGGTATTTTCCAAAAGAGAGATATGACCCTCCCATGAAGATGAACAACAAATAAAATGCNAGTTGACCGTTCCTAGGACTGATCGCAAACTTTTGATGTTTGTTGGCGTTGGCAACTCTAGTATCGATTTTATCCGATCTTCACCTAAACGTATGCCATCTGCAGAAAGAATATGCCCCAAATACTTCACTTCCTTTGGCCCAAATTGTACCTTCGACGGTTTCAATGTAAGACCTGCGGCTTGTAGCGCTTGAAAGGTATTTTCCAAAAGAGAGATATGACCCTCCCATGTAGATGAACAACAAATGAGATCGTCCATGTACACGAGAAGACCGGATTTTGGACCAAAATGTGCGAAAGTCAATGCCATCGTACGTTGAAACAGAAAAGGCGCATTGGCGATGCCAAAGGGCAGTCGTTTAAAAACCCATTTTCCGTCCCTAGTAACGAATGCAGTCTTCTTGTCTTGTTCTGCTTCGGCAATTGGTATTTGGTGGTATGCACATTGTACATCGCAGACTGTGATGTATTTAGCATCTATCTGCTACTGTGTCAATATGACTTGCCATCTCAGGCATTGGCCACGATTTACGAATTAAATTCTTGTTTATCGTCGCTCTGTAATCTACACAGAATCGGGGGCTGCCGTCAGCTTTTGCTACCAACGTTACTGCTGACCCCCATGGGCTCGCTCTTTGCTCGATTATCCCAGCTTCTTCCATTTCACCAACACATTTGTCAATAACCTCTTGCATTCGTGGATTTGCACGATATGGAGCTCTGTTGACTGGTTTTGTTCCTGGTTGCAATGGAAAATCAGCCTCTGTGAGAGTACATTTGCCCAGTTCTTTAGGACTCAGGGAGAATACTGAACGGTATTTGGTACATAGATTAAGTATTTCTTCACACTGGTCGGGCAAAAAGGTTGTATCTCTGAAAGCTTTGGCTAATGCCTTCTTGAGATCTGTACGGTTTTTTTCCGTTTCTTCCGGGCTCGATTGAACGCTGCTCATTGTTTGTGGCAGTACAGTTTTCACCGGACAGATATAGCCTATAAGTGTATTTCTCTTCAGGGATACCTGTCTGTGAGAAGGGTTGGCCAGTTGTACCATTGCACTTTTGTTGTGCTTATACCAGTGACAGACCGTGCGTGCTACTATTACCCTCTGGAATGCCTGTGGCGTATCCTGCTTGGTGTTAACGTCATCGGAAGTCACGATGCGTGGTTCAACAACGGCAGCTGTGGTTTCATTTGGCGCTTCCAGCGAATGAATTTCGACAGGTATACTGGCACTGCAAGTGTGTCCCTCTCAACTGCTACCACAGAACAGTTCATGCTGTTTTCCTGATCGGTCGTGGGGTAGCGCGTTTTACGGTGGTGGGTGGTCGGAATTTTGGTTTTTGTTGTTTTAAACGACAATTTTTCCGCTCGCCAATCAAGAACACCGCCAAATGAGTCCGGGGTTGTGGTGGCTATGTCCTGCCACCGGAGGTTGGCTATTTCCTTTGGTGCAATGTGGCGAGGAATGCCAAGCGTGACCGAGCGAACTCAGTCAAGCTAGGGTGGTGCGGAGAGTGTGGGTGAGCCTTCGTGGACTCATTTCCCCATCCTCCTAAAGATTCATCAACTATTCGCAGCCGTTGGGAATCTGTAGGGTCATGACCCCTTGGGACCAACAGTGATCTATTATCACATATCCCTTGGATCTGACTCTTTATGTACGTGTGTTTGTGCTTCCTGAATCTCCATATCCTGACCTCCACAAACACGGTTTTTCGTACGTTCTTTCCCGAGGTGGAATCCGTCTGTTTCCTCAGGTTGGTTCATACAACAGTGGATATACTACTGCTGTATTCATGGCAAGTCAGGAAGGCAAGATTTCCCTGTGCCGAGGGATTTGTTGACTTGTTCACTGCGCGTTTGCTGCTGTTGCAGTGTGT